TGGGGTGAAATAATTTAAAGTGCTGAAAGGAAAAATTAGTATAAGCAGTCCAACTAAAATTTCAAACATTTAATTAAATGTGTTTCAAAAAGGAAATAAAAAAATAAACCTTATTAGATCGAGGAAAACCTGATGGAAGAAGGTTATTATCAAGTTGATCTGTACTACAATAATACTAAAATAATCTTTTCCCAGTTGGAAATGAAAAGGACTCTAGAAAGTAAACTTGGTGCCAAACAAATTATAAAGGTCTTTTGAAAAGGGCAAATATGAGTGGAAGAAAATTAAATAAAATTAATTTTTTGTAAATTTGGTTAATAACTCATTCTTTACAAGATTCAAAAGACAAAAATTATGAAAAAAATAAAATCTAACTCGTTAAATGAGCCCAGCACAAAATTAAAGATGGACATTTGTGACAACCATAACACAAAGTTGATGTAATGGGCGTGAGAAAAAAGAAGTTAGTCTCTTTCATATACAATTGAAGTCATCCGTTATAAAATGTACTCCTATAACATTAAGATATCATGTGTAATCCCATTAAAAACTAAAAAGGATATATCTGTAGAATAGTATGCCAAAAGACAAAGAAAGATATCAAAATGTCCCACTTAAAAATACAAGGACAAAAGAAGGCAGCAAGTGTAGTAGATTAGGAAAATAATTTATAAGACATAATTAAAAAAATACAAAGCTGCATAATAAATTCTCTCCATCAGTAACAACTTAAATGTAAAGGACTTAAACTTCCCAATAAAATGAAAAGTATTAGAAGAAAGGATTAAAAATAGGATCCAACTATGTTGTGTACAAGAGATTCACCTTTAGACATAAGGACATATATAGTTTGAATGTAATATTTGGAATAAAGATATCTCATAGTAGGCCGGGGCGCGGTGGCTCAAGCCTGTAATCCCAGCACTTTGGGAGCGAGGGGGGCGACGGGCGATCACGAGGTCAGGAGATCGAGACCATCCTGGCTAACACAGTGAAACCCCGTCTCTACTAAAAAATACAAAAAACTAGCCGGGGCGCGGTGGCGGGCGCCTGTAGTCCCAGCTACTCAGGAGGCTGAGCAGGAGAATGGCGTGAACCCGGGAGGCGGAGCTTGCAGTGAGCTGAGATCCGGCCACTGCACTCCAGCCTGGGCGGCAGAGCGAGACTCCGTCTCAAAAAAAAAAAAAAAAAAAAAAAAAAAGATTATCTTTTTTTTTTTTTTTTTAAACTTTTTTGTAGAGACAGAGTCTTTGCTGTGTTGGCCAGGCTGTAGTCCCATGGCTGTGCACACGTATGATCATAGCTAAATACAGCTTTGAACTCCCGGCTGTAAGGGATCCTCCTCCCTCAGCCTCCCAGGTAGCTGGGACTACAGGTGCGCGGCAGTATGCCTGGGTAATCTTTTAATTTTTACTTTTTTGTAGAGATGGGGCCTTGTTATGTTGTCCAAGTGGTCTCAGATTCCTGGCCCCAAGTAACTTTTTAATCATATCTGTTGCTGAAAGAGGTCATTCTTTTCACAAAATTTCTATCTTTCTGATAGTTCATAAGAATCATAGTGTTGAACTTAAAAGTAATTATTTATTTACATGCAACAGTGACTATTTTAGAAATTAGGAGAAATAATATATTCCAGTTTGTAAATATTCAAAGAAGAATGAGATATTTATTTAATTTATTTAGATTTATTTTTTTCTAAAAATGATTTAAACATATAAATCTTTAATTTATAAATTAAACCTATAATTCCCAAAGCACTGGGAATTATAGGCATGAGCCACTATGAATGGCCCTATTTTCTTATATATAAAACAGGAATTATGGTAGCTACTTTTTGAGGCTGCAAGATTAAATGAGATGATGTTTGTAAGGCCCCTAATAAAATTGATTTAAGCCAAGCCCTCAGCAAGTGGTTTTAATACCATGTTGGAGATGGTGAAGGAGAACTACTTATGTTAATTGTCTTTAAAATGTCTTAACTTCAATTTTTGGGAAATTTAGCATATCTCAAACAGAAATAAGATGTAAATATATATTCAACACTTTAGTAACAGGATAATTATTCCAACAATGTATTATTTGATCTTAGGTATCAAGATAAGAGAATACATTGTAAGTGTGATAATATAAATAAATGTAAATTCTTTAAAATTTTTTTAAATTTTTAACTTTTGTGGATACATAGTAGATATATATATGTGTGTGTATATATATATATGAGGTATATGAGATGTTTTGATACAAGCATGTGATATAAACTAATCATCATGGAGAATGAGTTATCCATCCTCTCAAGCATAAATAAATTAAATTCTGATGTTGAATTTATACACCAAATTGTTAGATTTTAGATTTTGTCCTCATTTTACTTAGCTTAATTTTCTTATATACTGGTAAGATCTTATAGATGCTGTAATACAGTAAAATGTAGAACGTATGCCATAAAATTAACCTGAATTAGAGTATTTTTGCATGCATGTGGAAGTCTGTAAAGGACATTATAACTTTCTATTTCTGATCTCTGAAGTAAACCTAGGCTTTTAATTTTGGCTATCCAGATAAAAGAACTTAGTATGTCAATGTCAGTTTAAAACAAAACAAAACAAAACAAAAAAACCCTCCAATTAATCCTTATACTTGTTGTGATCTTCCTCTTTGATTCCTCTTAAGATATAGCCTAAGCCTTCTTCACTGTTTTAAGTCTTCATTTGATCCTGCTCAGCTTACTCTCATACATGACCTACTCATTGTGAAAATGGAGGTCATCAGTTATGAGACCTCTTTCTTTTGCCCATCCCTACGTCAGTATCCTCTATACCAAACTCCACTGTCTTCCCAGAACATTTGTAATCCTCTTTGCCTGTGCCCATGATTCCACTCTCTGAATAGCACTTTTCCTATCCCTTTATGCAGATGTCCTCCTGTCCTTTAATCTTCAGCTCTTCTATCACCTGTTCTAAAATAGTTTCTATAAAAAATAAATACATAAATAAATTAAAAGCTTCTATAGTACTGTGATACCAGCTAGGACATTTGAGCAATAGAAACTCAATTCTTATATTGGCTTAAATTTAGTTTTTTATTTGTTTTGAATTTATTCAGATAATTTTGAACTAAATACCATGACATGAGGATATTTCTAAAGGATTCTGCTTTTGAATGCTTTTTGAGATGTGTCTTTTCAAAAAGATTTCTCCTCCCATTTAAACCTCAGACCAACAGAAAACGAGTCTTATTTAGATACTCAATTACTAATTTAACGTCTTAATTTGAAAGTTATAAGTGCTTTTTTAAATTAGTAATTTAAATTTATTGGAACCAGTTATTTAATGTTTAATTTTTTTAGCTTATTTTTCAGATAGACCAAGAATTGATGTAGTTTGAAATGGTTTTAAAATTTTGCATGCCAATTGCACATGCACATTATAGTCATTTTTAAGTTTTTATTTAATCTGTTTCAAGTAACTGTGGCCCAAAATAAAATAATATAGTCCTAATTTCAGTGTGTGGATAATTTTTGTGCTACAGTACAAATTGCAGTACTATTCTTCCACAGCTAGGGGGCAGTCTGGTCAAAGAGTAAAATTTCTCTCCCAGTTCTCCTGTGCAAACAAGATGATACACCGAATCTGGAAGGAACACATAGTTTAAGCCATTGCATTTCCCGTGGCACTTAAGGCATTGTTCCTCATCTTCTGTTTGTAATTATGTAAAGTTACCACTAGTTTCTTGATAACAAAGTCTAGGTTACTATTAAAGTAAGCCCTAGTTTTCCACTTGATCTTTACATTAGTAACTTTTTAATCATATCTGTGGCTGAAAGAGGTCATTCTTTTCACAAAATTTCTATCTTTCTGATAGTTCATAAGAATCGTAGTGTTGAACTAAAAAGTAATCATTTACATGCAACAGTGACTATGTTAGAAATTAGGGAAAATAATATATTCCAGTTTGTAAGTATTAAAAGAATGAGATATTTATTATTTACTTCTATTTATTTTTTTCTAAAAATGATTTAAGGCTTTTTACAAAGAAGCATAAGTAAACAAGTGAAAATAAGTATTAGTAATAAAGAGTCAAAGGGAAGTTAAAGAAAGCAAAATGGAGTTGGTGGTGAGATTGGTACACAAAAAATGTATGTATGACTAGATGTCCTAAACATGCTTGATATAGGAAGGGGGCTGCATCTAGTAAGACCAAATTCATGGTGAGATTAGTACAAAAATGTATTCCATCAGATCCTGTGCACTTGGTGTAAGGTGGGTGGTAATTTGGCTCCAAACTTGGATGAAGAAGAGAAAAACCAACTGTAAAATGTACAGTGCCTATGAGGGTAAAACAAACAAGAGGGACAATGTTTCTGACATTAGGGACAAAATTGTCTCTTGAGTGTTCTTCATAGGACAGTGGGTCATATAAGAATGTGTAATCAACATCTTTACATTGAAGGCAATGATAAGTTTATTCTATTTTTATTTTTATTTTGAGATGGAGTCTCGCTCTGTTGCCCAGGCTGGAGTGCAGTGGTGCGATCTCGGCTCACCGCAGCCTCCACCTCCTGGTTCAAGAAATTCTCCTGCCTCAGCCTCCCGAGTAGCTGGGATTACAGGCACCCGCCACCATGCCTGACTAATTTTTGTATTTTTAGTAGAAATGGGATTTCACCATGTTGGCCATGTTGGTCTCCAACTCTTGACCTCAAGTGATCTGCCCACCTCAGCCTCTCAAAGTGTTGGGATTACAGGCATGAACCACTGCACTTGGAGATAAATTTGTTTTTCATAGGAGTATCATTTAGGTTTCTTGCAAAGACCAGGGGTTTTGAGGTAAAGCACAATTTGGTAAGAGCAGTTTTGTGCCAGATCAACTAGAAAATGAAAAAATACTGACCTTTTTTAAGCTTTATTTCTATTAGTTTTTTTATGTACTTCTGAAATATGTTATCACTGATACCAGTGACAAACCTATCTAAATATTCATAATATTTTTTCTCCTTTTAGATTCTGAAAAAGAGTTCCACATCCTCCCTTATCGAGTCTTTGTTCCCCTTCCTGGATCCACTGTAATGTTGTGTGATTACAAATTTGATGATGAGCCGGCTGAAGAAATCAGGGACCATTTTATGGAGATGTTGGATCATACAATTCAAATCGAAGATTTGAAAATTGCAGAGGAAATAAACACAGGTCATTATATGATGCTATTTAATAATCTGATTAGATTACAGCTAAGATTTTACCTATGAGATGTCTAGTTTAAATGGCATGTCTTTAGATTTTTTAAAGCTAATTCTGTTTGACACTTCAAAATATTAACTGAGACATTTTAAAATATATGTCTAATTTCTACATGTCTAGACATAGAGTGAGTATTTCCTGGGAAATTGTACCAAAATTTAAGATACTAAGGTATTTTTCAAGCTTAGCAAGTAAATCTTAATAAAACAAATTCAGCATTAAGTAGGTAAAATCACATGTCAGACTTGGTAAGTCTTACTTACTTGGTAAGTAAGCACCATGTCAGAACAAAGTTTTAAAACACTAATTTACTAAACATTTTCTCCATATTATTTGCCTTTTTTAAATATCCCTTTCATGTAATTGGGATACTACACCAAAACAGACAGTTCCAGAAATTAGATTACTTTCCTAGAGCATAGATTTGCTGTACTATCTGGGTTTGATAACCCATTTTTTTCCCCTAGCCATCACTTTCACATTTGAATTTACACTTTGGAAGACTGCTTTGTTTTGTTTCACTTTCTTTTTGTTTCTGGTGAGTTCAGGGTATGAAAACATGTCTATAAATAAATATGTAAATTCCTTTTCTGATTTCTTAGTTATTCCTCTTTGCATAGTTAATTCTCCCTTCAGGAATAAGGTGTTTGATTCAGAGTGCGCTTGAGATTATAGTGAGTCAAGTTGGTATTTGATTGGGGAACTTCAAATCATAGTAAACTGCCTCAAGTTAGTTGCAAACCACCCTTTAGTTTCAGCAATGCCAGATCATGATGTAAAGCAATAAGCTTGTTTCAGTGGGGAAAATAAAATATACTAAATTACCCAGTACGTGGTGTTAAAATAAAGAAGCAACTACTTTCTAATCCCATGAAAACTAATAATTTTAAAGATATAACTGTAGCAGACGGAAAGTATCGACTTTTTGAAAGTAGACTGGTAAAAATGTTTACTGCTTTCCAAAATTTATTTTCCCTGGTTAGTGACTGCGTTATCTCTGCCAATGAAACTTAGAATCACGAGGACAGGGATTTTTGTTTGTTTTGTTCACTTGTCTATCGTTAATGCCTAGCAATAGTTCTTGAGCCATTCTGTTGTTGAATAGATCTTATAGTGTTGGTAGGATTATTCGAATTGACCTAATTTAACCTGTTAATACTGAAAACTATGTCCCTAGCAGATATAGTTCTATTCACCTTCTATTCTTCATTTTACATACCAATCTGCCTCCCTGTAACCTATTCTTTCAGTAATACACACCAATAAAACATGAGTACCACTTCCTCGTTGAGACCATGCTTTAAATTTGAGAGCAACTGTTATATTCTAAATATTTCAAAGCCCTATATTCTCATCTACCTTAAGCTGTTCTTTTTATTATAGTTTCCAGACCACATTTTTTTCTTACCACCTTGTTTGCCTTCCAGTAGATTAGGAATTTTTAACCTGTGAGCTCCAAAACCTTTGGTGTCAGAGCTGAACTTTTAGAAGGTTGACAAATCACTTGAAAGTAATTGTATGATTTTTTTCTGAAGAAAAGGTCTATCGCTTTCAAAGAGTTGGTAACTAAGAAAAATTAAAAATTACTTCTTAAATATACTCTGGTTTGCTTTTCTTGAAATATGTTACCCTGATGAAGCTAATGCTCTAAAACTAATATCAGCCATTATTTCTATATCTGCCAGGCACAGTTTTAAGAGTCTTACAAATACCAAATTATCATTCCTTATAACAAGCCTCTGATGTAAATAATAATATTAATCCTATTTTCCAGATGAGAGAATTAAGGCTCAGAAAGGCCAGGTAACTTTTCAAAGTTACATCGCTCATAATGGTGGAACTGGAATTTAAACTTAGGCAGTCTGGTTTTAGAGTCTGTGCCTCTTTTCTAAAAATTTTGTTTTACTGCCTTTCTGTGGGAGCTAAATAATGAAGTATAGTACTATTACTTTCCATGATCTAGATACATATTTTAGCCTGGCGTTCTTCATTCCATCCCTTTAAACATTTTCAAGTGTAAATGGATGATGTTACATTATCTTGGTTTAATTTCATCTAGATTATGTCAATATAATTTCTCATTTGTTGGCTGGAATCTTGGATCTCATGTTTATATAAACATAATATAAATGTATGTTATGTTTATATATAATATAAACATATACATGTATATAAATGTGTATATAAACATTTTTATGTTTATATATAAATATAAGTTATATTTATAAACATGTTTATATGTTTATGTATGTGAATATGTTTATAAAATACAATATAACAATATATAAAAATGTTTTCTTATAAAAATATAAAATATAAATATATATCATGTTTATATATAATTTTTCGAATTACTTGTCACATTCTTAGTGCATATCACATTCTTAAACTAAGAATGACTAAGTGTAGCACTCTATGCAAAACTTGCCCCATTCACAAGTTACTTTAAAAGTCAGATATAAAAGAATAGGGAGAGTCATTTCATCTAGGTTTTTAAAATAATTCTTAAAAATATTTCTGTCTTAAGTATTTTTAACTCATTTAATTTCATGTTGTGTGTTAAACACAAGTATATAGACTAACACTATTTTATTCAGTTCTCTTTAAGTTATATTTTAACAAACAGTTAATAACAGAGGTTAATTTTCTTTCTTTACATTGCTAAGATATTTTAAAAAATTTAACTTGGGCAACATGGTGAAACCCTGTCTCTACAATAAGAATACAAAAATTAGATGTAGGGGTTTCAGTGGGCCATGTTTACACCACTGCAGTCGAGCCTGGATGACAGAGTAAGACCCTGTCTCAAAAAAAAAAATTAACTAGCTTCGACCACTGTAATGTATTCCTAAGAGGTAACTATGGCAACCTGGCATGACAGCCTCCCAAAACCAAAACTAAAACCCAATAAATTTGAATTCTCATGAAACCATTATATTTAACCATTGCATTTCAGCAAACATCTGTTGAGAGAGCAAAAAGGGACTTTGCCTCTCTTGCTTACTGTTATATTTCTAGCACTTTACTAAAAGCTTAGCCTTAGCACGTCATAGGTTGTCAGTAGATATTTGTTGACTGAATAAATTATTTATTTTGTCAGTCCTGTGGATTGGGATCCAAAGAACAACAAAATGCTGATCCTGTCTTCAAGGAGCTAAGTAGATTTTTGTTTGTTTGTTTGTTTTTTGAGTCAGAGTCTTGCTCTGTCTCGCAGGCTGGAGTGCACAGGCGCATTCTCAGTTCACTGAAACCTCTACTTCCCAGGCTCAAGCAATTCTCTTGCCTCAGCCTCCTGAGTATCTGGGATTACAGGCGTGTGCCACCAAGCCTGGCTAATTTTTGCGTTGTTAGGAGAGATGGGGTTTCACCGTGTTAGTCAGGCTGGTCTCGAACTCCTGACCTCGTGATCCACCCGCCACAGCCTCCCAAAGTGCTGGGATTATGGGTGTTAGTCACCACGCCCAGCCAATAGAGTTTTTAAAAAAATGTCTGTGTAGATACTATGTTTTTACTAACTTCGGGCTAGTTCAAACTAGGTAAACTCCTTCACTAAACTTTCTTGTAGTTCGCTCTTCTATGCTGTTCTTCTATAATACTTTACATACTTGTAATTATTTAAATCATCAATTGCATATTTAATGTTGATCTTTCACATTAGACTATAAGATTTTTGAAAGTAAGTAGAGTATTTATTTATCTGTGCCTAAAACATAGTAGGTGTTCCTAAGTATTTGTTACTGATTCATAAATACTGAATAAATGATTCTTAGGAAACTACAGCACATCTTGTTTTCACATTTATTTTATACTTGACAAATTATAAGCTTATGCCTGGACAGACAAGGTTTTTAAGGTTTGTGTAGTATAGTATACTGAACATGTTGAAGGTTTAAAAAGGCTATAATATTCGTAGATGTATGGCTGAGAATGTATAGTTCAGAACATTTTCAGGAGTATTGAACATTTAAGACATGAAATTATGTCTTTTATATGAAAATATGTAGCACTAGTTGTTGTCCCAGAAATTTTAATCTAGTTTACAGCATTTAGTATGTCTATTTATCAGATGTTTATTAAGCTTACGCTCTGTTCCAGACAATATAATAGATATGAATCAATAACTTGATTGCTTTCCTTTAGAAGCCTAGAGGAAAGATAGAATGTATATGCGTGATTAGTTATGCAGAGAATGTAGTAAAGTCCTAAGAGTACCTAAGTGCTCCATCAAGATTAGTGATGAGAATTTTAGGGTCTCCAGTGATTTGGTTAGTAATTTAATCAGAAAAAAGTCTCTATTATAGACATTACCAGAAATCTACAATATACAGTAACAAAGTTTTGGCATTCCTATATTAAAATTTTAGTGGACCAGGCACGATGGCTCATGCCTGTAGTCCCAGCACTTTGGGAGGCTGAGGCGGGTGGATCACCTGAGGTCAGGAGTTCAAGACCAGCGTGACCAACATGGAGAAACCCCGTCTCTACTAAAAATACAAAGTTAGCTGGGCATGGTGGCACATGCCTGTAAACCCAGCTACTTGGGAGGCTGAGGCAGGAGAATGGCACAAACCCGGGAGGCGGAGCTCGCAGTGAGCCGAGATCGCGCCACTGCACTCCAGCCTGGGCGACAGAGTGAAGACTCTGCCTCAAAAAAAAAAAAAAAAAAAAAAATTTAGTAAATTATTTCCCTTTTTGTATTCTTTATTACAGTTGAGTATCCCTAATCTGAAAATCTAAAATCTGAAATGCTCCAAAATTTGAACCTTTTTGAGCACCGATATACTCAAAGGAAATATTCAGTAGAGCATTTCAGATTTTGGATTTTTGGATTAGGAATGCTAAATTGATGTACTGCAGATATTTCAGAATTCAAAAAAATCTGAAATCTGAAACACTTACGGTCCCAAGCATTTTGGACAAGGAATACTCAACCTGTACTACTTTTATGT